TAATTGCTAAATATTTTTTCATGTTATTAAACTCAAGCAAATATATACCACACAAAAAGGAAAAGGAGTGAACTAGAGCTAAATCTATCAATATGGAAGTATCTCACTAACAGAATATTGCTATTACTGTTATTAGTATTAAACTTCATTGTATTTTATTTTTCATTTATTTCTTATGATTTAAATTACAGTATTTATTTTTGGAAAAGCATCATTCCATTTTTTTTTCCTAATTTTGAAAGAAATAGCAAAATATGCATTTAATACTACTCTGAGGTGATATTCAGATTCTAAAATAGCAATTTATGTTAACAATTATATGTCTTTTAAAAGAAGATGAAAAAAAATATACAAAAGTTATAGATTAAATGAGAAGGTTTTATTTTAGCAAATCAATTTTTTAAATTAATAGACTTAATTTTTTGACTGGTTTTAAGTTTATACAAAAATTATGCAGAAAGTACAGAGTTATCACATACTCTCTTTCCCCCAGCCCACAGTTTCTAACATTGATACATTATTATTAACTATTGTCTATGTAGTTAAGATTTATTCTTTGTGTTCATTTCCACATATTTTGAAAACGTGTAGTGTCATATATACATCATTACTGTATCATACAGAATATTTTCACTGCCGTGAATACCCTCTGTGCTCCATCTAATTACTCTCATCTCTTTCCCAAACATTTTCCAAAATGTCAAATATCTGGAAGTATTCAGCAAGTAGTCTTTTTAGGTGAACTTCCTGAAATTAGCAATATGCACTTTAATTTCCTCCATCGTTTTCTTTTTTTTTTTTTTTTTTTTGGTGTGTGTATGTGTGAGTGTATGACTTGATAGGTCATTTAATTTTCCCACTAAGTAACATATTATAAATTGTATAAATGTACATACTGTGTTTATCCATTCACCTGTTGTTGTTAAGTGCCGTCGAGTCGTTTCCGACTCATAGCAACCCCATGTACAGCAGAACGAAACACTGCCCGATCCCGCACCAGCCCCACAATCCCTAATATACTTGAGCCCATCATCGCAGCCATCGTGTCAATCCATCTCATTGAAGGCCTGCCCCTCTTTCGTGGACCCTCCACCCT